AGCTCTGTCCGCAGCTGATTTGCCTTCCTCAGAACTATGAGAAATACACGGCCAAAGCGCAGGAGATTCGTGCTATTTTCGCGCAGTACGATCCTCTTTTCGAGAGCGCAAGCATTGACGAGGCATATCTCAACATCACTTCTTATTGCACAGAAAACAATCTAGATCCGGAAGAGGCTGTTAGTCGTATGCGAGCGGAGATCTTGGAAACCACAAAGATCTCAGTCTCTGCAGGGATCGCGGCCAACGCGAAGATCGCGAAGATCTGTTCCAATCGCAATAAGCCGAATGGACAGTTCCGTGTTCAAAATGAGAGAGAAGCTATTATGGAGTTCATGAGAACTCTCCCGGTCCGGAAAGTGAACGGTGTCGGTCGCGTGTTTGAACGTGAACTCGATGCAATCGGCATAAAAACATGCGGTGACATTTACCCTCAGCGTGCCCTTCTGACTCGATTGTTTGGAGAAAAAGCATTCCACTTCCTGATTCAGTGCTTTCTCGGCTTGGGCAGAACGCAGGTTCAGCCCGTGGAGAACTATGAACGAAAGAGTGTCGGTACAGAGCGCACGTTCAGTGAAATCGGCGACAAACAATTACTCCGAGAGAAACTCTGGGATACGGCGCAGGAACTTGAGAAGGATTTGGCTCGTACAGAGTGCAAAGGTCGTACGTTAGTTCTCAAGGTCAAGCTGGCCACATTTGAAGTGCTTTCCAGACAATGTCAGCCACCCAAAGCAGTTTCTTCCGCCAAAGATCTTTACGCGTTCTCACTTCCTATGCTAGCGAAGCTGGAAAAGGAGATCCCAAATATGAAACTCCGGCTTCTTGGTCTCCGCTGTACCAACCTGATTAGCACGAAGAAAGTGGATATTAACTTCTTTGGCGCGGCACCGCAGTCGATGCCTGTCGCTGGGAGAAAGCCTGATGCAATGACAGAACAGCAAATCGGTGCCGAGGAAGCTTTCGAGCAAGCTGCACGCCAGGAAAGGCAAGACGACATCAACGAGCTGGAGCAGCTCAGCCAGGAAATTTCCGACACGGAGCAAACGAACAAAGGAGGCGTCACAGCCATACTTCCTAAGTCAGAAAATCAACCACAATTCTGGGATTGTCCAATCTGTTCAAGGCCTCAGGTCGCGGAGGATAAAGCATTCAATGATCACGTTGATTATTGCCTCTCAAGGGAAACTATTAAGGAAGCTGTCCAGTGTACCACTGAGGAATCCCCAGTGGTCATATCGAACACGCCAAAGGTAATCGGACGAAAAAGAAAGGCGACAAAAGAGTCGTCTCACGAACCTCACGACTCACGGCAAAGGCGTCTTTTCTTTACATGACACATTCCAAAGCCGTGCAAGAAAAGCGCCTTTCCATAGGGCCGCCATAAAGTATCAGGCCCGTCACATTGTCATGCAAGTTCAAAGCCTATTAGGTCGGTCATTCAAGGTTGTCGCTGCCGCCAATGCGAGTCACATCAGTAGACACCGATTGGTTCAACGGCGCCGTTTGAACTTCGCTGACGAGGCAACCCCTTGCTTCTCGTCGTGTTACAGATACGCGAGGCTATCTCATAAGAAGTCCAGCGCCAAGCAGGGAGCCGATCTGACTTTGCAGCTGTTGTTTCTTCAGCCTGGGTGCGGAATGATCCCGTCATGTCCTCGAACCATAAAATTGTGGTTGTAGCCTCGTCTTGCATGCAGCAGCTTTCCTAATCTTTCACCTTTCTACAACGAGGGGTGCAAATATCCTACTGTGATGATTTCAGAGGGTGAAATCTTTGAAGCAGTTGATCTTAAAGCAAACTGTGGCATCAACAACTTCTCTTGTCATATAGAAGACTATTAGGCAATAGTTGACAAATTGTCCAACATGATCCTCAGCTAACTGCCGTTCTCACCGTCTGATTTCCAACCGCTAGCAACAATATCCGTTCAAAACAAGTCAATCCACATTCTTCATGAGGTCATCGAGCAGGTCTGACCCAGTAACCGTCTTGGTGGACGGTGATCAGCCCATGCGCGAACAATAACCGGAGCACGAAAAACATGATAACACCAGTTCACCGAAGCCGTGAATCCCAAGCGGCTGACAGATATGCAGATAGATTTAGTCGATCATCATTATTATCGATCTGAATAATCGGGGATTTCCTGACTCGCCTGCCAGGAATGCGCCGAGTTCGACTGGAGCAACAGTTGCGGTGAAAGCACGAGACGCACTAGACTGTTTTGGGGGATGTGCTAGTCTAGACTAAGAATGATTGTTATTATTATCGTCACCCTTGCCTTGCCAATATTTATCTATCCCCTCAATCTATAATTTTTCCCACTCTGCTTATCGATACTGGGGCCCTCGCATCTCTGCAATCTACTCACGCCACTGAGGTCGCTCTATCTGCTGGCCGAGTGCCACCATGCTTGCAGATCCTCGTGGAGTGTCGCAATGCCATAAGTCGTCCTCCTCTTTTCCGCCCCTCAAGTCCCGCAACTATGGCCTCCGATAAACAAAACAATGGCCCTCTTGCCAAACCTTTCACGCCAACCCTCAGTGCTGCCTTCAATCGAACCAGCAAATCTCCCTTGACGCCGAAGCTCGCTAATCCCGGTGGGTATCGCACTCCCAAGAGACTCGCCCCCTCTGAACACCCCTCCTCGACTCCCGATGCCGAGACCGCCTCCTTCCTCAGTGCAAACATCACCCCTCGATCAGGTTCGCGCAACAGCAGACGCGATGGATTCCCTTCCCCGAGCAATGCACCATCCAGCGTACAGTCCTCGCCGCAAATACAGTATTCGCATGCGGGTGTCGCCTATGTTGCGAGCTCAGGGGGATGCAGAACCGAGCGGAGTCCCGCTCGCTCGAACGGGAGGTTGGAACCGTCCAGAGGCAATCGAGCAAAGACCCTGACAACAGAACATCCTAATACTCCACGACCGAATTCTTATTCCGACTCTTCCTCTTCACGAATGTTTTTTCATGCCTACGATGCGCGGTCTCCGAATTCTTCCGAGGTGGACATCCGACTCAAACCACAAAGTAAACCATCCTCGCCGGCAACGTTTGTCTATGCCAATGGAGAACACGAGCAGGAAACTCAAGGCGAGGAGGCAAATATCACAGCTCCGGTGGTCAAGCGGCGCTCGATAGGCTCGTCTCGTCCTGCGTTGGCACCAAAAGTTCACCCGGCTGCTTCGCCCCGGTTACGGCCAGCTAAGCTCGTTGACTCTACGGCGAGACTTTCGGACGCTACTTCACAAGTCAGCTCGCAGCGTGATGACATTTCTGAGGCTAGCTCTCAAGCTCATAGCTCTTTCTCGGGCGCATTTCCCGCAAGACCACCTATTCCAGCCGTCAGGCACATAAAGTCATCAAGTCTCGATTCCGCCAGCAGCGGCGTTCATCCCAAGGAAGGCCTAAAGCCAAGTCCAATTATCGTATCAACGGCCGAATCGCCGGTAGATGCGGAATGTGCCGCATCCGAGTCGATACCGGGGCTCAGGCCTCGAATTCTCAGCAATGGATCTATTACTTCGGTGGATACCCATCTTTCAGCAGCCGCACAGAGTCCGGTGAAGTCGGATACCGGACAGGCAAACAACGACGTTGTTCTCAATGCGCGAATTGAGAGAAAAATCCTTGACTTGGAAATCAGCAACTCATCTCTACTTGCGATCAATCGTACCCTAGAGCGGGAGATGCGCAAACAAAATGCGGAATTGCGAAGATATCGTCGTCTGAGTCGCTCCGGCCGTTTGTCCATGGCACCATCTACACGCTCCTTCTCCGGAACTTCGTTATCGATAACGAACGAGTTGGACGAGGAAGCAAGCGAACTTTCGTCTATTCGCTCTCCGGAGGAACTGTCGGATTACAGTGATGAGGATTCCACTGTGGACGAGGGTGTTCTCAGCCCTGATTCGCTTGCTGAGCACGATGCGAGACATCGGGTAAAAGATGAGAAGCGATTCTTCATCGACCTTGCGAAACACCAGGAATTGCTGGCGGACAGTCAGAAAATAAATCAAAGCCTCAAACGATGTCTCGGCTGGACAGAGGAGCTGATCAAAGAAGGCAAGAAGGCTCTCGAATATAGCGTGCATGTCAACGACGTACAGCTTGGCGGACGAGTCCTCTCGCCAGACGAGCTCCTTGAGGAGGGAGAAAGAGCTCGGGCGCTGTTGAGTCCTGTCGCTGAACCTCCGGATCCTTTGTTGGTATCTCAGGAGTTGGAATCTCTAATCGAGATGCTTGACAATGAGGGTATCGGCTACTGAGCATGGTCTCGTTGTCGCAACACCCTTGACGGGCAGGCCCGTTCGTTCTTTCCCCGTTGTTTCGTCACCTTTTCCTGCTCTTTTCTGTTCATTTCCATATCTACTGTCCAATTTCTACCATATCTATTGCATTTGTGGCGTACTAAGGTCCCTTCCTATTCTTTATCACGGCCGTGGCTCTTTTGACCCTTCAGCCGCCTTCATCAGCCTTCTACTTTGATCATTACCTTCTTTCTTTTAAGCGAAGATACATTGGCACTCTGTCTATCCTGCTGCTTGCACTCTCCGGTATATTGTTAGATACCCGATGCGCGATATGTTTATTGTCTCTTGGATATGTCCACTGAGGGAGCATTTGTGATATAGAGCAACCTAATCCAGACGATATACTCATTTGTTTGCATTGCTTCTCTCCATCTCTCTGCCATGTACATTTGGTTTCTTCATATGAGCAAATCTGTCCTAACATGGCGGCATGGTTAGGCTCTAACATCGTTGCAGGATATTTATCCATACACAATTAGTGCATGCCTCACAAGCAACAAGCAACGCTTGATATACCAAACATTGGTCGATAGACAAAGCGCCTCGTGGTACGTCGCATCGTGTTGGCGACTTTCTCTGCAAGCCAAACTCTTGAATAGCTTGGACAAAATCGGCAAAGCAGTCGGTCTCCTTTCCCATAAATGATAGCAAGGCCTCTTTCTCGACAAAGCAGTCATAGCATCAGAACCCTCGAGCAACTAGCCTTGCAAGATACACCTTGCACTCACGGCTCATCCGCTCGTCTTCCCCATCTTCGGATCGAGCCTCTTGTTCCGACACGGGGATCTCGATGGCTGGGAAGCCCCCAACGTCCACAAGATACTCATACACGCGCTTCACACCTTTCCTCCACATTGACATTGGCATATCCTCTCTCGCGACCAGGAGCACAACCGGTAGAGCGTCGTGTACGCCCTGAATCCCGCTCTCCTCAGTGGGATACAAGGCATATTGAATGGAAATCCCGTAGAGAGACAGGAAATATAGAACACTGTGGCGAGTTCTGTGTGCAAGCCTGGATAGCCTGCGTTGCAACGGGTCAAAGCCGTCTATCGGCGTGGTGAAGTTAACTTCTAGACGGGAGGGCAGCGCTCTTATGCGCTCCATCTCTTCTATAACCTCTGTCGCTGGTTCTGTTTCTGTGTCTGATATGTCCTCTGTGGATGGTGGACTGGGGGAGTCGAGTGCCTCATTGAATGATGCGTTGAGATCGCAAGGGTGCTTGCCCATGCAGCTGTCTAGGGATGCGCTTGCATCATCGATCATCATGTCGTCAAAGGAGTATTGGGCGACGCGAGACTGGAACTCCATCTTGTACGTTGAACGAGTGACTGGTTAACGATTGTGTGTTAAGATGTAGTAGTGACCGCTGAGTGTAGAATGAGAGATAGTAGGTGCGAAGGGGAGCGGCCACAGAAGTCCGTCAGGTAGCTATTCTGAGGTCATAATGAGCAGCATAGAGGTCTGCACAGCATCGATCCATAGATTCTCCAGTGAATGCCTGACTGGTACCTGAATAGGACCATCCATGGTACAGCTCTAATCACGGTCGTCTCGTTTACACCAGGCACTAGCATTTGAACCAAAGCAGCTACACAGGCCGTCCGTCCCCAACCTGATGCCCAGTCGTATAGTTCCCAAAACAAGCAAACTGATACATCGCCTCCTCCTTCAACTTCGGCACACCACCCAGAAAATCCCTCAAAGCACAGAACCCATTCTCCGCACGCTCACAGCCCACCAACCCCTCCATCGACACCGGCGCCCCATTCAACACAAACCGGATATAGTCCGTACCCTGCACCACTGGATTCCTATACAGCGTCGCATCCAACTCTTTAAACGACACCTCCCGCTCAGCCGGACACGTCCACACCTCAGAGATGAACCGCGCCCCGAACGGTGTGATCTCATTAAGTCTGAATGTCCGCTCCGGCGCATGCTCAATTACATCCGGCAGACCCTCCTTCCCATACTGGAAGTACTTGAGCCCCAGCGCCGCAAGGACAGCGACGATGACGTCGTCGTGCGACATGTCCATGTACAGGGGCTGGTGGAGCGGGAATTGCGCTGCGTTATTGTCGTAGGTATAGTTGATGCTTGTGTCGCTGGTTTGGATGAGGCGTCCGGCGAGCCGGGACGCTAGCTCGAGGACGTACCCGATGCCTTGGGCGCGGCCGCTGGGGGCGCCAAAGCCGTAGTTCCCGTAGAACTGGAGGTCCACGTTGTAGGCGTAGTCGCGCCATTCTTGCTCGGTGAAGAGGGAGCAGAAGGAGGAGGAGCCGACGGCGGCGGTTTCGTAGGGGCAGAGGTTCATCATTGAGGTGATGTCGAACGGGGTGAGGTTGAAGTCTTTGGGGAGGAAGGGGGAGAGGCGGGATAGAGCGAGTTTGGTGAATCCGGGGATGAATCTCGTGGCGGAGTTGGTGCTGGGTTCTAGTTAGTAAGGGTTCTGGATATGGTAGCTGGGGGTATGAGTGTTACCCCTCTGATTCATCGCCTGGACAGGAATGATCTGAGGCCAGGGTGTTGTTGAGACCGTTTCCCTCGGGGATGATCACGAGGTCGTACTCGGCGTAAGAGTTGTTTGCGCCAGTGTTGCCAAAGAAGCCGCCTGTATCAGTCAGTATGAGAACTAGGAGACAGAGACGCGGAGTCTCCAGGGAATCACTCACTCAGCCACCATCGAGCACTTTCCAAGATCCTAGCCTGCGACGTCGTCCTGAAAATCGGTTTTGGTCTTGCAGTCCCGTTGGGATATACATTCAGGGAAGGATCCCATGCCGCGACTCCGGGGCCAGCGCGATAAAGCAGCCTCCCGTATTTCGCCCAGATACTGGCTCCGGAGGTCGCCTCCGTCGCGGCACCAGTGACCTGCAAGGTATCTTCGCCGAGCAGATACTCCCAGTCGTTGAGGAAAGCCAGCGGCCCTTTGCCGACTTTGTCACCGTGCAGTTTGCTATAGTTCTTCACCTTTTGAGCGAACGCTTCCATGCCCCCGCCATCTAGCAAGGCAGAAACAGGGTACCGCTGGGCATGCCGGTGCAGGACATGGACCTGTGATAGCTCGCAGCCTCGGGGAATGCCGTTTGTCGCATTGAATCCGGGCGCATCCTTGTATGGACTGAGGTTACCCCAGCTAGTCGTAATATCGAAGCCCGACGCGAACGTCGCACCCGTCGGAGCAGGTACACCTGCAGAGTAGCTGGAAGTCGGGGCAGCAGAGACTCCTCCCACGGCCGCCAGAAAGGCGAATGCCGAGACGGGTGAATGAAGGAATTGAGGCATGGGGATCAAGTCAGTAGCAATAGCAGACTACTCCGTACTGCCTCTCATGATTGCAAATCTGGGAGCTGTGCCTGTTTATATGCGTGTGTCGGCCCATGGTGGATCTAGATAGGTGATCGGCGGGGTTCTGCTTCTGTCGGCCAGGACATCGTGCAGGCGACGGAGTACAGAAGTACAGAGCGTCAGAGATGGCCTGGTAATCGGTATATCGGCTTTTGAGTGGAGTACAGGGGTCTACTCCGATGTAGCATTGTACGCGAGGGGGCTGAGGGGGCATCGCCAGTCGGAGGGTAAGTATCTCGCCCTACGCTCGAGTGGGCCGACGAAGCTTCGTTTAGGGAGTAGCGCGTTGCCGGCCACCAGTCAAGTTGAAGTTATTGAGGGACAAGGATCAGATACGGGTCTTGGAGACTACTTTGCCAGGAGATCCGGATGTTGATCATTTGTAACAGATAGTCCTCGGCTTATTTGGGTAATTGCTCGCGTGCTCACCCTGTGCATTATCAGCAAATGGAAACTGGGAAGTGGCATGATCCCTGCTTCAGAAACATAATCACAAGCCGAGGTTCTTGTTGGATTAGAATCAGGCTTTAGATTATAAGCAGCTGGTTAATGATCGTACGGGACTCTGTTTCCGGTCAACAGATAGCAATTTCTTCAAGAGATGTAGACGACAATCAATAGCTGGTATCACGAGGCTGAACAGGCTATATATCACATGGTCGTTCGATTTAGCGGCCAGCAGATATCTAGTGGAACAATTCACCGTCAACACCCCAATCTATTATTAAAATTTAATATACTGTACGTGCTAATATGTAAAGTCCCGAGCGGGTCATGAAGGCGTAAAGGCACGTATCCAAGCACCCGAAGGACAGAATCGAATAGAGGAGAGTAGATAGACAGCGGTAACCCACAAGCTCAGCAGAACGGGCCTCATGGCAAGGATATAAACAAGACTAGGTATCTATGCGGTGGTTTCTTCCTCGTGGTGATGATGCTCATGCTTCGACTTTTCCTTCTTCTTTTTCTTCTCGTCCTTGCCCTTCTTCGACATGGCTTCGGCCATGAGCTGCTCAAAGGCCATGTAGTCTCCTTCTTCTTCAGGATCACGCTCTGCCTATAGTTGTTCACTTAGCTTCCTGTGATGTGCTAGAGCTCCAACGGGAAGAGCTTACCTTTGAATAGATATTGCCGGCAATAACCAAGGCGTGTGCGCGCTCAAGCCGCTTCTCTAACTTGATGCGCTTGTCACCCAGAACTTGATCACAGACGTCGCGCAGTACGCTCTGAATTTCAAACTTGCTGCCCCGCCATGCGGCCGCCAGAATCTTGCCGGTGACCTTCTTCTCGTACTCTGCCTTCTTCTCGTCGGTCCAGTCCTCTCCGCCCTTCTCTTCCAGCTTTGCCATCTCCTCCATGGTCATCTGCGCATCGATAGCTGTCGAGATTGTAGTCCAGGTCTCCTTGGCCAGAGTGCCCTTGTCCTTCAGTCGAGAGAAGAAACCGGAGATACCGAGGAACTTTTGAGACTTGATGAACGAGGTAGCTTTTGATGTGTAGGTAGCACCAATGGCATGCAGAATCTCCAGACCGAACGATTCCATCTTCAGGTTCTCCACCTCAAGGCGAATTTTCTCCTCAAAAGCACGGGTTACATCGGGGCCCTTGTCGGTTTCCGTCCAAACGCTTAGCTTGTCGACCAACTTGGTTGCCAGGGTGTTGACTCGCTCCTCACGAGCCTTCTTTCGCTCCAGTTCGTAAGCAGCCAGGCGCTCTTGCTGTTCCCGAGTCAGGCCCTTCTTTTTCTCCTTCTTGCGCAGTTCCTTCTCCTCCTGAGACAGACCGGCTGCCTCCATCCGAGCCTCCTCTTCCGACTTGTCCATGATAGCCTGTTGTCCCATGTAGCGACGGGGTGTACTCGTTCCGGAGGTTGGCGCCGACTTCTCTGATGGTTGGGCGGCTGCGGCTGGAGCTGGAGCTGGGGCTGGGGCTGCGGTGCCAGCGGCATGGCTCGCTTCCCCTGTCGCGGCGGCGGCCTTGACCTCCTCATCGTGGATATTGAGTTTCTCCTCCGCGGCTTGGAGCAGTTCGTCCTCCTCCATTTCCAGCATAGTGATGTCCATGGTCGCGGTCAGGTCCTTCATCAACGAGATTTCACCAATCAGATCCACAAACGCGCTGCCACCAAAGATCATGCTGAAGAATTCGGCCGGGTCCTCTTCATCGCTTATCAGTATGGTCCGATCCGACAGCTCGATCACATCTGATCAACTCACCGAAACCGCCGCCTGGAACTGCATCTTCCTTTCCGTATTTATCATAACGCTTTCGTAGCTCCTCATTGCTGAGGACTTGGTAGGCTTCTCCAATCTGATCGTACCGAGAGATTAGTATCTATCACGCTGCCATGAGTGGAAGAATACACACCGCCTGGAATCTCTCATGCGCAGTCTCATCGCCGGGGTTCTTATCTAGTCAAGAAGTCAGAATCAATAGCAAGAACTCATGAAGACATAGGAGTAATCGCACCAGGGTGAGTCACAATGGCCAGTTTCCGATAGGCCTTCTTAATCTCGAGTTCTGTGGCCGTGGGTGGCACGCCCAAAGCATCGTAGTAGGTAGTGTCTGCGACCATGATGACTTGCCGTCAAACCAAACCAGAAAAGTGATACGGGTTTCGTCCCCGAGGTCGCAAATGATGACAAGTTTTCCAGAGAAAATCAGGAGGAAAACAGATTGTAACCTGCCAGACTAGTTGGCCGACCGAGGACGATAATAATTTTTATCTGCCTGATGATGCTCTCCGACGGCAGTTTCGTCATGGCGGGGGGAATCACCTGTCGGGGTATTATATGTAAGGTACTGTCACGATCACCACCAGCCACACAAGGCAGCGGGGTAAGTAACAGGAAACCAACACTAAACTCGATTCTCGACGGTGTAATAAAGGCGTAATGATAGTAGCCTGCTCTGCCGCCCACGCCAAGAGACGGTCAGTTCTCGCGAATTTCCCCTTAACAACCTCAGGCCCTCCGGCTCTCCAGCGCCTCAGCCACTCCTTGTATATGAACCCAGGACTCTTGCGTTCCCCTTTTTCGATAGAATAATCTCCCATCTTTTCTTCTTCTCTGTTTTCTTCACTCCTAGGTCTCACGATCTCCTCCACCTTCCCTGCCAGTGAGATCCGATTCTTCTTTCTTCGCTTCTCCGTTTGTACCTTACATCTTAAATGTGTCAATAGCTCTTCTTGATTCGCTTGCTGTGTTCCCCACATTCCCACTATTTTTTTTTCCTCTCTCGCCAACATCCGCCTTTCCGTCCTCTCCTTTTCCGTGTCCTCCTCTTCCCTACAAATACCTCACCATGGGCGTTGCAGCAAATGCTTTCTACTACATCTTCCATCCCTCAGAATTGAGGTCGATACTTCAATGGTTGGTCTTGGCCTATAGCTATGAGCACCTCTCCTTGCCTTTAGTGTCTATGTGCCATTGCTTACGGACTCCCTTTCGTCCTTGCTGATAGGAAGATCTGGCACAATCCTGTTCATGAACGTGATGAATCGAAGGAGTCAGAAACAGCGAAGACATGCTTCAAGTTCCTGGATCTGACGAGCCGGAGCTTCAGCGCGGTGATCAAGGAGGTTCACCCTGAGCTCCTGCTTCCCATATGCATTTTCTACCTGACACTCCGTGGGCTGGACACGATCGAGGATGACACCTCGATTCCTTTGGAGACCAAGGAACCGCTTCTTCGCGGATTCAAAGACATCCTCGAGCAGGATGGCTGGACCTTCAATGGTAACCGGCCTGAAGAGAAGGACCGTGAGCTGCTGGTTCAGTTCCACAATGTCATCACCGAGTTCAAGAAATTGAAGCCTGCCTACAAGGCCATTATCAAGGATATCACGGACAAGATGGGCAATGGCATGGCTGATTATTGTCGCAAAGCCGCGCTGGACGATGCAAGCGTCAAGACGGTCGAGGAATACGACCTGTATTGCTGGTATGTTGCTGGCCTGGTCGGAGAAGGGTTGACTCGCCTCTTTGTTGAGGCCGAGTTCGGTAACCCGGCCTTGCTTAAGCGCCCCGAGTTGTACAAGTCCATGGGACTTTTCTTGCAGAAGACCAACATCATTCGCGATGTCCGTGAGGATTTCGACGACGGTCGACAGTTCTGGCCCAAAGAAATTTGGTCCAAGCACGTCACCGACTTTGAGGATCTCTTCAAGCCGGAGAACCGTGAGGCTGCACTGAACTGCAGCTCCGAGATGGTTCTTAACGCACTGGGACATGCGGAGGAGTGTCTCTTCTACCTTGCTGGTCTGCGCGAGCAGAGCGTCTTCAACTTCTGCGCCATCCCTCAGTCCATGGCCATTGCTACCCTTTCCCTGTGCTTCCGTAACCCGACGATGTTTGAACGTAACATCAAAATCACGAAGGGTGAGGCTTGCCAGTTGATGATGGAGTCGACGCAGAACCTGCGGATTCTCTACGAGGCCTTCCGTAGATACGCTCGTGAGATTCACAAGAAGAACACCCCGAAGGATCCCAATTTCCTCCAGATCGGCATTGCGTGTGCGAAGGTGCGTATCCTCTATTCATCACCATTTGTCTAAATGCTAACAGTCGCAGATTGAAAAATTCATCGAGACTATCTTCCCATCGCAATCGGCCGAAGAGGCCAACCGGCGTGTCTTGGGCCAAAAGTCTGAAGCTGAACAGGAGAAGGCCAGACTGGAGGCCGAAACCCGCAAAGACGTCTTCTTTATGATGGCTCTCATGGGAGTGATTGTGGTTTTCGTTTCTATTGTAATGGTACGTCTTGTCGCTCCTTGCCGTTGTCGTTGCTTGCTAACAACCATCAGATTGGATTCGCTTGGTACTTTGGTGCGCGCTTCGATCTTGCGTGGCAGGAACTCCGCAAGGGGAACTTCCGCCCACCCAAGAGCCTGCGTGACCGAGAGCTATAGCCTTGTATTAATACTACGGAGTTACGAC